AGCGTTCCCCCAGCCCACTCTCCATCCCTTCTCCCTGGCTCCCTCCTGCGTGCCAGGTGCCAAATCTAGGTTGCACCCTCCTTTTCTCCTGCCTCTGTCTTACCTGGTGGTACAGTGGCCTTCTCATTGCCCTGCACCCCACCTGCCGCACTTCCAGGTGCATTTCTGCTGGCTCCACCCACAGGTAAATAGCCCACTTGTGCAGGCCCCCTCCCTGCTGCTTTTCTCCCTAAGACTCTTCAGTGCTTCTCTGTTGCCTGTGGACTCCCATCTGGCATTCGAGCCCCTGGAAGACCAGGAGAGATCTCCCTTTCCAGACTTACTTTGGGTCCCCACCACCTTGCTTTAGATGGTGTGTTAGTACTGTGCCTTTCCAATGTGGCAGAGTTCCCTCATAAGTGGCGTTTTTGGGGACAAGGAGGTTAAGTCCTCTCTAATTGTGGTCTCCCAATACCAAAACTGCATGCAGAGTAATGGTATTTAACTTTCTTGGTCCTCTTCTGTTCCAGTGCAAAGTGTGTACAGATCTTCTACACTGGCATGGGTGCCATCTCCATTGCTCCATCTTCTCTTTTAGGGAAGGAGCCTAAAGAAGCAGACATGTCTCGGGCTCTCCTGTGGGGGTGAGAGAGCAGAAAAGACAGAGAAAATTCTTCTTGATCCCACCCATAGAGACCGACTAGATTCAGTGCATATTCAGAAACGTGCTGAAGGGACAGAGGGGTTTTCGTAATCTCCATTAGCAGCGCTGGCCTCATTGGACAGGAAATGAGTGATGAGAGGTCAGCAGCCCCTGGCAGTCAGGTGCAGCTTCAGTGTTGACTTGACGAAGGCCAAACCACTGTGCTGTTTTTTAACCTTTGGCATAACATCTTTCAGATAGCTTTTTGAAAAAATTTCTGATTGGAATATTTGAAGTAGCAATTTAATTTTTTATTGTGGTAACATACACATAAAATAAAATTTACTATTTTAATTATTTTGTAAGTGTACAGTTGAGTGGCATTAAGTACATTCACATTGTTGTACAGCTGTCCCCCTCCACCCATCTCCATAGCTCTTTCCATCTTCCCAGGCTGAGACTCTCTGCCCGTTAAAACTAACTCCCCATTTTCCTTCACCAGCCCCTGGTAACCATCATTTTCCTTTCTGTCTCTATGGATTTGAGTCCTCTAGGGACCTCCTGTAAATGGAATCATACAGTATTTGTCCTTTCGTGATTGGCTTTTCTCGCTCAGCATAATGTCCTCAAGGTTCATCCACATTGTAGCATGTGTCAGAGTTTTCTTCCTTTTAAAGGCTGCGTAATATTCTAATTTATGGAAGGATCACATTTTGTTTATCCATTCTGTCAGTGGGCACTTGGGTTGCTTCCACCTTTTGGCTATTGTGAATAATGCTGTGAACGTGGTTGTACAAATATCTTTTCGTGTCCCTGCTTTCAGTTCTTTTGATTATGTGTGGGAAGTAGAATAATAGCTGTGTCATATGGTAATTCTATGTTTTATTGTTTGAGAAAATGCACCAGACTGTTTGCCAGAATAAGACCATTTAATTTTATAAAGTTCCAAGTCCAGGTCACCCGTTTTTGATACTTTGTTGCCATCTTTTATGCAGATACTTTAAAAAAAGAATTTCATAAATCGTGTACTAGATTAACAAGGAAACTTTTTAAATTGACAGCCTGCAACACCAAATCCCATACTTAAAGAGCAGCAGTAGGCAGTATGTTTTGGTCTGCTAATTTTTAAATCATTTCAGATAGGGTCTCTGCCAACGGACAGAGTTAACACTTGTTTTCCTGGAAGGGAGGATATGTAGTCTGGGCAAGTAAACTGGCCTTAAAGCTGTTTTCAGGGTGTTTTCCCTTGATGATTTATGGGAAGGTTTACAGAACAGTCAAGAGGATATGGAATTGTTCTTGGCCACTCTTAAAAAAAGGGGGGGGATTTTTCCATCATGTGGAAAATACCAAACGTTTCTTACAGGAACATTTGGGTCAGAATGACATTATTTCACTTTGGTGGATTTACTGTGATATTTTGGGAACATTAAGAAAAGTCCACTAAGGATTGCCGTATTCATTAGCAGTACATCATAACTTTGCTTTTCTTTAATTGTTAATGGCATATTTGGTAGATGCTTTATCTGGTTGTGCAAGTTCATCTCCTGTGTGATATTAGCAGTATTATTTGTTGACAAAGTATACAGAGATTCATGAAGGTTTGGTCATCCTAGCTAAAAACCTTAGAGTCACTCAGAAGTCCAAGTGATTAGTGAGGGGCAATGGTTGTTTCTACCAGGTTAGAGTATCCATTGGACTCATATAGAAATCATAAACCAGCCTTGGCCAGTATGGCTCAGTTGATTGGAGCATCATCCTGTACACCAAAAGATCATGGGTTTTAATCCTGGTTAGGGCATAACCAGGTTGGGGATTTCATCCCCTGTCGGGGTGCATACAAGAAGGCAGCCAGTCGATGTCTCTGTCTCTGTCTCTCTCTCTGCCCTTCCCCCTCCGTCTCTCCCCTCTTCCACCACCTCCCTTCCCTCCTCTCTCTAAAAAGCAATGAAAAAAATGCCCTCAGGTGAAGAAAAAAAAAAGAGTGAGAGAGATCATAAACCAAATCACCAGCCTTCTGCAATCTGAGCACAGAGGGATGCCCAAGAGACAGTCTCAGTGCATCACAAAAGGCCTGGCTTTTGACTTAAGGCGCCATCAGCAACAAGAGCACAGTGTATTTTCAGCTCTTGCCCTGTGTGTAACTGTTGGTCTGCAGCACTAACACATGTTACAGAAGTATGCAGTTCAAAGGAGGACACCTTCCCACACCCCCTGCCCCACAATCAAACTGCTTTGTCAGCAAGGCAGAAAGAGGCTGGTCCTTGGCTGCTTCCTGTACTGGTGGCACGCTGGAACTGAGAAAAGGAGCTGGCCTTTCAAAGCCACACAGAAAACAAAGTGAAGCACCAGCATTACTATGTGGGTGACAACTTTGAAGTGCGTCATTGTACAAGGACAAAGTGTGTTTACGGAGAGCTGGACAAAGTAGTGACAACTGGTAGTGTTCGGGAGGAGCCCCTTGGCATCACAGAGCCACAGGAAAGTGTGAAGATAGTTTAACACAGGGCAGAGCTCTTCTCGTGGGAGTGGGGTAGGCCATTTGCTCCTGTTTCACCCACCAGGGGTGATCTGCAAAGATTCTGACAAACTGTGGCCTCTCAGATTTTTGGTAACTCATATTACATGCCTACATTATTTTATCCCTACCCTAGATTCTCAAACAGTGTATTTTATGATTCATGTTTCCTCACCAGTGTTTATAATCTCTATAATCCTCTAGAATGGAGTCCACATTCCTCTTGGCAAAAGGACGAAGCAGGTGTATTTGGCCTGATAATGAGCAAGGCGATAGTTTTAGGTCTTTAACTTCATGTCTGTTCATCGGAAGTGGAGCTGGGGAAAGCAGGAGCCCCCAGGCAGGCCTCATGAAAAGGGTTTGCAGAGTGGTAACCACGTCGCCCCAGACAGCTTCTGCCTGTGTGCATCTTGAGTTCTTCTTTGTGTGCTGTCAAAATCCTAACAGTTACGGAAGTATTTTGGGTTAATATCACCCATTTTATTTAAAAGACCAGGCTGTATATAGGAGTATAATGATTGTCTCAAGGAAAATAATGTGTGCTTGAGTTTTAAAAAAAGAAAACAAAAGAAAAGACCAGACCTCAGGAGGGTTCAGGCACAATCGAAAGTGAGGAGATGAGGGACAGTGCTGTACAGCTACTGGCCAAATGATTGCTGAGTCACCAACATCCTCAAGCCTCAGTTTCCCTCCCTATGCAGTGGGCACAGTACTGGCCTTAAAGGTAATTATCAGGACTTTGTTACGAGGCTGTCCTGTGAAGCCCCAGTTGAATGCCTGCGCCTGGTATGAGCAGTGAGTGGTTATTCCTATGCAGTCCTAGGGGCCCCCTGTTCTCGTCATCAGATGCTTGCTGAGCACATACCTGTGCCCAGGCTGCGCTCACTGCTACGAGACATTCCCATCCAGGCTTTCACTCTGGGTCCCCATCACAAGCCCGTGCTCCTTTGTGCAAAACAGTCACCCCTGTGCCCCTGGTTTTTCATTGTTAAAATGGAGATGACCGTAGCACCTCTCTCATGGGCTGCTGGCAGAATAGACTGCAGTGGTGCCTGGCAGGAGCTTGGCATGGCGCCCAGCATGCACAAAGGTTGGTATGAGGCCGGCATTGTCATTATTAGCTTTTGGCCAACAGGCAATTCTGTATTAGTGTGGATTAGTTCAATTGTGGTGCTTTCCTTTCAAAGCCTGGCTGAGATCTGAACAGAAGGACCTGAGGTTTTCGTTGGGAAGTGCTGCTGTGTGTGTCGGGGGGTGGGGGGCAGGGTGATTTTGAAAAGTGGGGCCGTGGTAGGGTGAGAGAAGGAACAGGGAGGAAGAAGTAGGAGGGTACGTGCTGTCAGCCAGGCGAGCGGGGAGGACAGGGCGGTGGGGAGGGTGTCACGGATCTCTCCTTACTAACTGTTATTCTAAGGTTGCTGGTGCAAAAGGGCAGAGAGTCTCCAGCTCCCTCCTTCCAGCGTCATGCATGGTCTTCAGTTGCAGGAACTGTGTTTTTGTTTAATAGCATTAGTAGTGTGGTGCTGAACTAGGGGTTAAATGGGTCTTTGTGGAACCCTGACACCAGTGACAATCTCATTTTCATGGAAACATGCATTACCTCAGACCACTGAATTTCTGCCACACCATATTCATAAACTGGGCATTGTCCAACTTGGGGATTGTGTGATCAGATCCACAAGACAAGACCAAGGATTAGGTGTGCACCCTGCCGCTCTCCCTCCCTCCCTTCCCCAGACTTTCTTGCCTCCTCCAGTCTTTCCTCCCTCTCCCTCCTTTTCTCCTCTCCCTCCTATCTGTCTATTTCTGTTGCTTTGTGATTTCTTCACTGCGATGTCTAGCAAATGTTTCTTGTTACAGAGTATGGCGTTTGTGAAAACTTGCGGAAGCTGGAGATCACGGGTGTATCTTGTCGAGACGTCTATGCGAAGCGTAAGTTAACCTAATATCATCCATCATTAACTTCGTTCCAAGAGCAGACACCGTGAGTATCAACAATGGATCCTACATTAATTTGACCCAAAGTCCAGTTTCATTCTCAGACACCTTAATCTTAGTGTCACAATTGACATTTTAAAGACTTCACCGGTAGTAACAGCACGCCAGCTGGGTGGAGGGCGCGCTCCCCTCCCTGTCCGGGCGCGCCAGTATCCTTCCTTTCAGCCCATCACAGGTGTCAGGACCTTGATCTGAGAACACGTCTGCCCTGGGAACAAACTCTGAGGTGCGTCCAGGGCTCCCTTCCTCTGGATTCTGTGCCCACAGCCTGAGCACAGGAGCGGGCGGCTGACAGTAAGTGGGAAATGAAGCCGTGAGCCTCCCGCTGGCGCCCTCAGCTACCGGGGCTGCCTGCGGGCCTGCTCCCCGCTCCAGCCGGGCACGGGGCTCCAGCCCTGCGTTCGGCCTTCCCTTCAGTTTCCTCTAGATGTGTCGACCCCCACCCCGTCCTCCCAGCCCCCCATTTCTGCCCCTTGCTGCTTTAGTTTGCAGAGTCAGCAGCAACACTCGCTGAGCGCTCCCAGTTTCCCCAGCCCCAAATACCCACCCCGCTGGCCTTCCTCAGTGCCCCGGGCGGGAGGCTGTGAAGGCTCCTGTTAACGCCGAGGTCCCCAGGAGCAGCGGCGTCACAGGGAGCAGCCCACTCATCCTCCACCCCGTTGGGGTGGGGCAGGTATTATGAGGCCCCAGGACTCGGAGTCAAGAGCAGAGTAAGAGAGACATGGTGACCCCGTTCTCTTTGGCCTAAAGTGGACCTGTTGACCTCTCTGAAAAGGACCTTACGTGTCCGTCCTAAACCCATCTTAGAAGGTTTTGGTTTCCACATTCTTTAGCACCTTCTACCCAGTTCCCCATTGAAAGCAGACCAGGGGATGTGTTCTCACCAAGTACCTCACCCAGGAAGTGAGGGACGCGCTTCCCTGAAGTGAGGAAGTGAGAGAAACATCTGTGGTTTGGGACCGAGAAACAGGCAGGCAGTGGAGCGGGCTTCGCTGTGGGCCAGGCGGCCGTCTGTGCACTCAAGTGCCACAAGCTTTCTTCCAGGTCTGGGGCTAGTTGGTGTCGCTTTGTGTATTCTGTCTTTTCTGTGGGTCTGTTCCTCTCAGGGAGGCCACCTGAGGTGCCCCTCCTCACGTGGCTGGGCCACCAGCGCGGGCAGAGGGCAGCACTTCTGCAGAGCGGCTGACTCTGCGGGGAGGCGTGGGGCAGCCTCAGCCCCTGTGTCTGGGCCGCTCTCATCGTCTCGTCATTCCTTCGTCCCAGCCGGGACTCTGCACACTATGACCCCGTGGCCGTTTGGGATGGCCGGATTGGCTAGTGTTTCTGGGTTAGCATTTGCCCACCTTTGGGGCATTTCCTGGCAAACGCTCTAAGATCTTCATGGGCCGTCCCCTTTCTGCAGGATGATTCTGGGTGGCTCAGCCCTGCCCCCCCAGCTCTTGTCCCCACCCGCGCCTGCCTCAGCGAGCCTCCAAGAGGCTGCTGTCGACCCGTCTGCCCTGCCGCATTTCATCCCAGTTCTGCCGACTCCTGGCACCCCCTACCCCCTTTCTGTGGGCCTCGGGCTCCACCCCTCCCCCTCAGCCACGGTTTTCACGCTGCCTGCTGCCTCCTGCGCTGCTGCCCCCGGCCCTGGGCCCCACGGCAAGGCTGATCTGCTCCGGACCGCCCGCTGCTCCTTCCTCTGCGTTTGGTCTTAAACCCAATGTCATTTTTAGACACCTGGTTTCTTCTCTTGTCTCTGCTTCACATCCCACCGACCCAGGAAGACGTGTGTCTCCAGAGGAATTGAGTCGGGGAGGCCCGAGCCGTCATGTCTCCTGGAAATGTAACCCTTCCCGTCCTCTCGTCTCACGGGCGAGAACGATGCCTCTGTGATTCTGGCCAAGCCCAGAGTCTCAGAGGCAGGAAGCTGGGTGCTCCACCGCGCTCCTTCCACCCTTTGCCCTGTAGGAGCCCACCAGGTCCTGGCCCCACCCTCTGTTCCTTTGTTGTTCACCCGGAGCCCAGTGTCTCACATCTCGTCAGAGCGTAGAGTGGGAGGAATTCAGCCTCGCTGTCGCCGTTGGTGTCAGAGTCAGAACCAAGCCCTCGCTGCCGCAGCCTCTGAGTGCATGTCCTCCAGGAAGGTTCCGTGGCTCTTGTGGACGGCCAGGCGGCTTTTCTGGGTATCTAACATGAGAAGTTCTTGTCTTTGATCACTGCTTTTGGAGTTTTCTTAGGCCGTTTGATAATATTCTCTGAAAGCAGCATGAAGACTGTTCTCTCTTTAGGGGTTGGGAGCTCTCAGAATAGCGCTCTGGAGGCGGGCAGGTGCGCACAGGTCCCGGGCATTACAGGCTGGGACACCCAGAGCTCAGCACACGTGGCAGCTAAGGGCCCCACGGAGTGCGTCTCGGCTCTGGGTGGAGGGCGGTGGCGGGGCCCTGCTGGAGGCTGTCCTGTGGAGGGGACGTCTGGGCACGGGTGGGCAGGCCGGTGGTGGTTGTACACGCAGACCCAGGGAAAAGCCGCAAGATGGCACAATGTACCTCTGAAAGCGAGGGCAGGGAACAGACTGAAGAGAGAGACTGGCCACTCCTGTCTAGGAATCAACGCAATTTATTAGGGGAAACTTATATATGAGGCGTGTCTGGGGCAGCTGCAAGATGACAAGGATCTCCTGCCACTTGGCAGGCACCCAAGGATTATTCAGGAGAGAGGGGTGATACTCACAGGGGCTAGTCCGTGAACGCTGCCAGGCACGGGAAATTACATGCTTGGCGAGGTCAGGACAACCACCTGTTCCAGGAACCAATACACAGCAGGAGGCTATGGAGGTACTGATTTATATCTAAATGAACATCATTTATATTCAGCCAGTCTCTGAGGGGGGTTTGCAGAAATCAACCTTCATTCTCGTGCAAGTCCAGCTTGTGGGACAGACTCAGTCCTGTCAAGGAACAGTCTCTTCTCCACAGGTGTGTAGGGACTGCGGGGGGCAGGAGATGGTGTGGCCAGGGGTAAGTCAGGAGGTGGACAACGGGCGTGGGACAAGGCCATGGCGAGATAAGCACACACATGCATGTGGCGATGTGGGCAGACAAAGGAGGACACCGGGAAAGTTCTTTTGACTGGTTATTCTTCACCCCTTGAAAATGATTGGGAAATTCAGAGAATAGTTCATATTATCTTTATTTAGTATCCTAAAGTATTTAATTTGCCACCAGCAAAGAAGCTTTCACAGTGCAGGAACATGTTCTTGTGAGTTTGCTTTGAGAGCCTTATCTAGGAGAAAATGACCTCTGGACTAGGTGCTACTAGAAGGTCTGCCTTATCTGCTGGCTAGGTGAGCGTGAGCCAGCCTTGATTTAGGAGTGAAGGGTCTGAGTTAGGAGCTGGCTGACGTTATCCATAGTCAAAAACAAAATAAAACAAACACAAGCAAAGGAGAACACTAGGCATACACTATACCAGCTGGATATCTTAGTTGGGGCATGAGGGTTCCCAGACAGCCAGTCCCAATATCTGCAAGCCATGCCCACCGCTCTCCTACCTCCCTTGACCCATGACAGTTGCAAGAGGAGAGTGAGCATGGAGAGTGTCTCAAGATTGCCTGCTGTCGTGAGTTTCTGGTGTGAATCTATTGATTAAAAGAAGATATATTACATTTTCTTTCCAGCCAAGCCTCTCATTTTTGGCAAGTAGTTGCCTCCCAAGGCACAAGGGGCTGAGTATGATGGCAGAGAAGGAAAGGATGTTGAGTCTTATGAAAACTGTTTATACCATTGTGAAAGTGGAACCATCCTTAGCCCTTTCCCTGCTGTGTCTGTTCAGGTATAAACCCTCACGTGAAGTCGGGACGTTTCATGAAAGTTCTTCCCGATTACGAGCACGTGGAGTACAGAGATGTGTACACCTGCCGTATGTACCTCCTGCTGCTTTGGCTTTGGCGGGGGAGCACTGTGAGAAGCTGCATGGAGGGGGGCCTCTAACTCACAGCATGCCGATGCTTTGGTCCTAAGAGCGAGCTGACCTCGGCTTTCGCTGTCTTTCCACCTTTCTGCAGCATTCTCTGTGGCTCGGCCATGACCACGATCACACCTGAGCGGTGGCCTGGGCCAGGTTTCCGCAGCATCTTTTGTGTTTTGGGGTAATAGCAGCACGATCACTCTGTTGATGCCCATTTTAGCACTTATTATTTACTGAGGCCAAAGGGAGAGAACAGAATAGAAGCCTTAGTGCCTTCGTACTCCAAAATGAAATGTAAGTGGTTACTTCCAGCCTTCAGTAGTCAGTCGTGTTTAGACAGCACATGTGAATTTGAAAAAACTACATACATCTGTACCCATATACACATGAGACCAAGCCATGTAGAAACGATTATTTAGAACCTGATTCCTCTTAAATGGCTCTGGAAATTTTCCTAAGCTACATTCCTTAGTGATTAAGGGTACCTCCACTTTTTATTAGGTTGAGCTGAGAGGGAGAGTGCGAATTTCAGTTTTCAAGAAAGATATTAGAAGTATCTGCTTGCGGGGACCCCCAGCTGTGTACTCCCTCAGCCCCGCTGTGTGTGCCCTGTGTCAGCATCGCCTGCGTGGACCAGACCCACTTCTGGGTCTTACAAGGGCACAGTCTCTAACAAAACCTACTTGGAACACAAGGAATAGAGTCGTTTATGGAATTTCTCCTAACCCCTGCCAGGCTCTGGACATGCAGCTACAGGGCTCGCTGGTCCCATCTTACCTACTCCGGGGAGCCACCCCGGAGGCAGTGTGCGGATGCCAGCGCCGGTCGGCGTGCTTGGGGCGGTGACTGAGCACGGTGCACGGCCATGAGCAGCACCCACAGTGCTTGTGTCATCAGGCCCAGAGCTGGGCTGCTCGAGTGAAGACCGGCGGCGAGGGCCGTGTCAGGGGTGCAGATGAGCAGTCAGGAGGAGCGGGGCGGCTGCGGTTGGTGGCGAGGGGGTGAGGTGGGCTGAGTCCGAAGGCATGACCTCTGTTCTCTTCCAAACCCTCTTGGAAGTAGCCTCTCTGGAACATTTTGCCATAGACCAACCTGCCCTCCAGGCCCGTGGGAGAGAGCACTTAATGATAGAACTGCGGATCCCTCATCACAGCTGTGCTGATGGGAACAGGCTGGGATGAGCTTTTAAATACAAGTGGACAAGCACTTAGAGGCTCATTATGTCATACATTTGCCTCAGGATTCTTCTAGAACAACAGTCTATATGGAACTTATACCTGAGTCTGAGAACGGAATTCTGACCCTGCTCTGGGAGGGAGGCTCGGTGGCTGGGTTGTGTCGGGAGGGTGTTCTTTTTGTTCCCAAGGGCTGCTCAGAAGCTTTCTGTATCTTGTAAAGATGTGCCATGAGTCCAGACTCACCACAACTTCCAGAGCATCTGGACTTTAGCCACATGTTGGATGTCCCCCAGCCGCGGGCAGCTGGCAGCTTAGAAAAGACTGTTCTAACTGGAGACTGCCTTCTTCTCTAAGGTTTGAGTGTAGTTATAAAAATATAGGAGTCCCTATAGGAAACGTGGAAGATCCAGAAAATATAATGCAAGCATTGGTTGCATTTCTCTGTGGACATATTTAAACTGGGTGGTCTGTTACCTCCATGACTGTAAGGAGAAAAAAATTACATGTGTGAAAAAAGAAAGGTCATTTCAACCCCAATTTCAAACCTCTCTATGCCCCAGTGTTTGGCATTCCAGTGCTCCTAGAATGTTCTCACAGAGCGCAGCTTAGAATTTCTTCTCTCCTGTTAGCCAGACTTTCCAGAAAAGTCTGCTGTAATGGTTGGCTCGTGAGGTACCTGGGACCTTGCACTGTTTCTTCCTCATCCATTTGCACTGTTCCTGGAGCTGTTGAGAACTTGTGTTCCCATGGCCTCTCGAGAGCCGCTGGGCCGTGTTCTGTTGGACCAGAAAGGATCCACAGTCTTGAGGGCACGACACCGTCCTGGAGAGAAGCAAGCCAGCATCGTCTGAGGCTGCAGGTTCTGACTGTTAGGAGCTTTGTGGCCTCCGATTAACGGCTTCTGCAGTGTCACTTTTGTCTGTTTTTCTCAATGTCTCAATATGTTGTGTAATATTCTTGATAATTTGTGTCTATAAGAAGTTGGAAGCATCATGGGGGGATGTATTGTCCTTAAGGCATATCTAACACATGTCCCTGTGTGCAAATTGATGGTGACTGTCAAAGTGCATTTTGAACTCAAAAATAACTAACCATAGGGCTCTGGGTTTTGAGGCTCTGACCTCGAGTCCTGGCTCCCGACCGCTCTGATGGATGCGAGGAATTTGGTAGAACACTGCTCACCACTCTTACCCAGTGTCCAGCTCAAGGCCATCAGGCAGGAGGAAATTCCCCCTTGTTTGCAGGAGTTAGCCTCTTACTCTAGTCAGGGGGAGCCCACAGTTCGAAGTTAGGGAAAACATGTCTCAGCTCTTGCAGCCCAGCAGGAGGGCTCCCTCTTCCTGGTGAGAGGTCAGCCGCCTTCTACTCAGGCCTCCGCCAGATTGGGTGAGGCCCACCACATTGGGGAGAGCAGTCAGCTTTACTCAGTCCACTGATGTGATTGTCAACCCCAGCCAGGAACAGCCTCCAGAATAATGCACATCCAGAATAATGCTTGACCAAGTGTCTGGGCACCCCGCGGTCCGGCCCAGCTGGTGCGTGATGTTAACCAGCACACTCTGCCTGCACAGAGACCCCAGGCCCTACATCAGGCAGTCAGGGCCTTATGTAAGTTGGTTGCCCATTAATTCATTCACTTACTCAGTCAACAAATGCATGTGGAAGGGCAGAGGAAGCTGAAGTGAAGGACATTTTCCAAAATGTTTTCTGCAGCTGGTCATTGCTGTGGTGGGATTTCAGGTTGGCACTGGGTTTCCTTCTCTCCAGTGTCTTTAATGAATATGTATGCATTGCTTTGACAATAAGGTGAGGAAGTGTGGTGTTTTTAAAACAGAGAGATGACCCAACTTAATTCTTAATATCCAGCCCCATGACATTGTAGACTCTGTCCCCACCTCTTAAGGAATCTTAAATGCTTCCTTAACTGTGTGAATGGGTGGCAGGCTCACCGCTTCATAACGGCGCTCAGCCTGAGTCTTATAAGACAGCAGTTCCCTGTCTTTGGAGCTGCTCACATAGAGGCTGGGTTTCAAAAGGATCCTGTTGTCTGTTTTATTATGCTTTTCAAGGCATTTTCATTCTTAGAATTCTTTAGAAACTTTTCTAGGTAAGCTTCGCTTAAATCCACATTTGCTTACAAGGCTCTGTTACAAGCCTTTGCCATTTCCTCATAGTTCTCTCTTCCTCCTCCTGCCCTTTGCTCTGATGTACTTTAAAGTGAAGACTGGCTGCCTCTAAAATGAAGCCCTGCTCTCTCTCTCTCTCCCCGTAGTGCTCCACCGATACAGGCACATCCTGGGACTGTGGCAGCCGGATATCGGGCCCTACGGAGGACTGCTGAACGTGGTGGTGAGTCCGAGAGCCTCGCGTGGGGATTCCCGTGAGGTCAGGACTGCTGCCCCACGGGGACGGGACGTAGTGCCTTTTCTACCAGAGGGACAAGTCAGCTGCTTTCTGCGTGACATTAATCACAAGGAACTTTTCATCAGGTTACTTTTTGCGGCCCCAGCTGGTTCTCCACAGAGCAGCTGTCTCCCCCACTGTGAGGTCTGCATGTGCTCTGAATGGTGCCTCTTGAACAGAAGCCCTAGGGCTGGGCATGTGCAGCTAATACTTGGCCAACTCTGGGCAGGCGCCTGGGCCCAGGTGCCGCTGTAGCTGACGTCCCAGTGAAAACAGGTGCCCCTGGGGAGCACTGGTGTTCCGCCCCCACTTCCCTTCTTGCTGGCTCGTGCCAGAAGCCCAGGAGACCGGCTGCACATCATGTAGTAGTGGTCGGCCTGCTTTGCAGTGGCCCTAGATGGCCTTGGTGTGGCTCTTCTGAGCCTGGTCCAGAGGGACCACCTGATGACTCTGGACTCTGTCACTCTGTATTTTGCTCACCAGGTGGGGTTTGGACAGGAGTAAATATTGCTCTATACTCTTCATATTTGGTGGAAGCATTCATTCAGAAACACACTTTAGATACATTATGTTTAATGTCACTGGGGAAAAGCCTTGCTATTAAAACATTCTCTCAGGGACAAGCCTAACACCTCCCAGCGTGGGCACATTTTTCTCCTTTTAGTCAGGGAGGATGATAATTGTTTTTTTCATACTGGCAGTGAGTAATAGAGTTAAAAAAAAAAAAGCTTCTGAAAGTAGGGGATAATTAGCAGAAAATGGATCCCATGACTGAACAGTGGCAACTGGCTCTTGTCTCAGACCAGTTGGCCACAAAAGTGCATAAATTCTCTCTTCCTGTCACTAGAGCCAGAAGCTGTGATCTAGGCTCCCCTGGGAAAGCAGGAGTGACTGCTGGGTCATTTCAAGTGGGGCTGTCCTTGTCTTTCCACTGAGAATGTGGGTGCCTTTGTGCTGAGCATGTGTGCGTGTCCTTTGCGCTCTGTCACTTTCTATCACTGTTTCAAACCCATAAGACTAGCGGGAATGGCAGCATGAACTGCCGACGCCCACCACCTGGATTCGGCAGTTAGCGATAGTGTGCCAAGTCTGTGGCCTCTGTCTCTGCCCTGGTGTTCTGCTTTCAGGAAGTTTCAAGCAAATCCCAGGCCCGTGTCACTTCATCTGTCCGTACTTCAGTGTGGGCCTCTAAAAATGTGGGTATTTTCCTGCATATCTACCACGTTCTTATCACATCTTCCAAAAACAGCAGTAATTCCTTGATGTTACCAGAGACCCAGTCCATATGTAAGATTTCCCGATTGTCTCAAAATTGCCTTTTAACAGCTGGTTCATTCAGATCGGGACCTAAATCAGGCCCTCACATTGCATTTGTGTGTTTTGCCTCATGACTCTCTCCTGTTGAAAGCAGTACCTCCATTTTTTTCTTGGGTCAGTTACCCTATTTAATGGGTATCACTTTCTGGATTATTCTGCTTGCTTCTTTTTTGTGTCATTTAGCTCCCCCTACCCTCCACTTTAGCTCTGAAGTTCTCTCTAAAAGGCTTTCCTGGATTCAGGTCTAAGTGCTTTTTTTTTATTTTAAAAAAGTTAATTTTTTCAGATTTATTGAGATATAATTGGCAAAAATGTAAGATTTATAAAGCACACTTCATGGCCCCACCATCTAGTTAATGTATTCATCATCACAGGTTTAAGTTCTATTCTCAGTAAATTTCAGTGATCAACACATTGTCATTAACCATAGTCACATTGTTTTTCATTAGACAACTACTTTATAATTAACAAGCACTGGGTGGGCGGGGCCGTGCTTGTCCCATTGTGATAGATCAGGGGCATCTCAGTGTCTGTTGACCCTGAGGTTCTCCGTGGGCCTGGAGTGTGGAGACGTGGGTGGTCATCGTGGACCGCTGCGGATGGGGAACCCCTGCCCCGGTGCCTCACGTAACCCCCACGTGGACATGCGCCCTTTCTCCTCACCGCAGGTAGACGGCTTGTTCATTATTGGATGGATGTACCTGCCTCCCCATGACCCTCATGTGGATGACCCAATGCGATTCAAGCCCTTGTTTAGAATTCACCTGACAGAGAGGAAATCACCCACGGTGGAGTGCATGTACGGCCACAGAGGACCCCACAACGGCCACATCCAGGTGACTGTGTGCTTGGACTCCCTTAGGCACGGCAGCCACATGCAGGCGAGGGGCAGGGTCTCCTCTGCTCTTCCCCATCCTGGCGCCAGCTGAGTTTTCAGTGGTGTCCGTAGCTACAAGACTGTGTCTGTACAGATCAGCGGAAATGGGAGGAAATGGGGCTCTACCGCACCCCTTCTGTGTGTTATTTATGCTGTGGTGCTGTGATGTAACTCCCCAAAGAATCACCAGTTGAAACCCTCCACTGGTTCTGCATCCAGTATCCAGTTAAAACCATTTGTTCTTTCCAACCACTCCATTCCTCACTGTTCTTTTTTCAAAACTTCTAACACTATGAAATGATAGCCCCTTTTTCCTGCTCTAAGAATCCCTTTGGAAAAGTACAAACACCTCTCTGTTGGATGCACTACTCCTCTGAGAATGGAGTGCATGCTTGGGGTGGTTTGGAGCTCCCTTCTCTGCACTGGTCACGATTTGTTGGCATACTGGGCTTCTGTAGATGAGCGGGGTGCATCGGGGAGGAGGGGCTCATTGTCTGATGGAGATGCCATGACTGATTTGTTTCCCTCACTCCTTTGTCATAAATGCTCAAGATTGTGAAGAAGGACGAGTTCTCCACCAAGTGCAACCAGACAGACCACCACAGGATGTCTGGTGGAAGGCAAGAGGTAAGGCCATACCTTTTCTGTGCACAAGAAGCAGACATGAGGTTGAGCGGTTTGACATCGTCTGCATACCAACAAGAGGGCCCTCTCCCGTGGTTCATCCTCATGTTGTTGGCACAGAAAGGGTGTCTGAAAATGGCCTCAGAGGGATGTGTGTACGGAAGCATAGGTTTTTGTTTCTGCACCAACCCTCAGAAGGTATGGCCAAAAGGAAATAGTTTTCACTAAGTGGTTCTCCCTCACCCCTTTGTTGAGTGTGTCCGTGTGCCGTGCATGTTTCTTCTTGGAGGTGAGATGCAGGGAGGCCTGGGGGTTGTTCTTAGGGCCGCGCTGTTCTCCCCACAGGTGGACCTGGTGATTGAGATTTCAGACCAGGCAGCACAGTGGGTAAACCTGTGTGTCAGCGACACCTAGGAGTTTCTTTGTGCTTCCTTTTGTTTGCATTAGTAATTTTACCTTGTCTTTGAGTTGTAGTTTTCTGAGGATCCAAGTCATATTGCCATTTCTTAAGAAAATCTTGAATTTTTAAAATCGAAGACTCATTACAGTTCTGTGTATTTGTGGGATGTGCATTTCTCAGCCAGTTTCTGAGTCTCTGATGGGTTGAGCTAGCTCATGGTCCCTTTAGCATCCTGCTCATGAAGAAACCAGTGAGTCGTCCTGCCTAGCCCTTCACGTGGGCTCCACCCTTCATCAATACCAGAAGCCAGCTCCAGGGGGTCATAAGCTACATCCACGGGGCTTGCCAACTCTCCCACTTGCTTGCATGCAAACTCTAGTTCCAGGCTCTCTGCGGGTTCAGTGCACCCTTGAAGGCCAAGTCCAGGCTGTCCTGTGAGCAGCAGTGTAGCCCTCAGGCCGCCCCCGACCCTGCCTCCCTAGTGCAGATGCTGCCTGGCTTGTCTTCATGGACAATGGCCAAGGCCCAGCCACCACCTTATTTCCTGAGGCTTCTGGAAACCTGGGGGCTGCAGGGAGGAGCAGAGATAGGGAAGTAATCACCCAGTTACTAAAATGATGTGTTATCATCAAATATGAAATGAGCAGTCTGGAGGGGAAAAGTACTGGCACAGCCCCACCTAGGAGTCTTCCCCAAGCTTGTTCTCCAGCCTCCCTCTATGTTTTTTGGCATTTCTGACATACCACGTTTTGCCGCGTATAATGCGCACCCACGGTTCAGTGTTGCCCATGTAATGCACATCCTCAGTACTACCCATGTATAATGCCCATCCTTGTTTTTCCCTCAAAAATGTGGGCAAAAAACTGTGCATTATACATGGAAAAATACGGTAATTACAGCTTAACTCTCTCAGTTGGTATTTTTTAAATTTAACTGTTACTCCAGAGATATTTTCCAGCCTCATTATAACCCTTCACAAGATTTATTCATAATTCAGCATAGCATCCATCATCTTGCCATGATGTCATCAGATGTAACCATTCTCCTGCAGGTGGCCATGGGGTTTGTCTCAAATGTTCACACTTCTCCTGTTACCCTCTTGACCACATGCTTGAGTGACTTACCCTCCGGGAGCCTCAGTTCTTATCTGTAAAGTAGGGCCATATGATTACCTGTGGACCCCAGGTGACTTTGGAGAGTCGAATAGGGTACCACACCAGGAGGATGCCAAGTGTTATTACTGTCATCCCACTCTTTGAACTCCATGCAAAACCTTATCTGGGTTTTGGATCGTGCAGAAATGGAATTGCCGGGTAAAAGGCTGTGAAGACATTACAAATTCTTGTTACATGTCGTCAGTTTGATGGTCCTTGTGTACAGCCTGCCAGGGCAGGTGAGCCCTGCTTCCCGTGCTCCTGTTGGCTCTGGTATTGGCCATGGCGGAGGCAAGACCAGTTAGCATGTGGACTTTGGGTTAGCTCTGATTCTGTCACTCACTAGCTGGGTGACTTTGGAAAGGTTTCTCTACTCTGATAAGTCCCACGCCTGTGTAGAACAAGAAAAATGTTAGCACCCACCTCCTAGGACATTGTGCAGATTAACGCAGTGATTGTACAGTGCTAGCACATGGTGAATCAGCTCCAGATAATAGTTAAACTGATTCTTACATGTTCTAGACCCCTGTGTTTTTCCTTATGCATATGTATCTTATAAGATTATTTTGTAATACACACATATATTTCAAAGTTATTTGTTCTGAGTAATTGAGTCTGGTTGATATAATGACTTTGACCTTTTCATGCAAAGTAAACAAGATTATGACTATTCACAAGCCATCTTCTCTTTGGCATTTAGCTCAAGTCTGATTATTCACCATGGCAACATTGAAATCCTTGTTCATTACTTGCACTTGCTTCCATTTTTATCTGTTATTTATCTATTAGGTTTTTTTAAGGGCCTTTCCTTCATGAAGGAAAAGGGCCTAAACCATTTAAGTGGAAGGTTTTGACTTTGGTGAAGTGAAAATTTTTAAATTGTTTTATGGTTATTGTTTTTTGTGATCTAAAAAACTTTGCCTTTCTTCAAGGGACAGAGAATCTCTCTCTTTTTAGTTTGGTAGCTTCACATGTTTAGGTGTGTAGACTCATCTTGAGTTATTTTTTGTATATGGTGTGAGGTAGGGATCATGATTCTTTTTCTCTATATGCATTTCCAGTTGTTGGAGCACCATTTGTGGAAAAGACTTTTCTTTCCCCACCGAGTAGTTAAGTCAGCTTTGTTGAAAATCAGAGGACCAGATAAATGTGGGACTTATTCCAGGCTGTCTGATTAGTTCTATTAATATATTTGTTAGTCTTTATGCTCATACCACTGTCTTGATTACTGTTGCCCTAGAGTAAGTCATAACATGAGCTAGTGTGTGTCCTTCAGCTTTATCCTTTTGCAAGATTGCTTTGGATGTTTAGGTTCTTTTCATTTCCCTAGGAATTTCAGAATAGGCTTGTCAGTTTCTAAAGAAAGGCTGGTCTGGTGGGGTTATGATTGACATTGAATCTGTAGGTCAGTTTGTATAGAACTGCTAACTTAATGCTGAGTGTTCCAGTCCATAGAGACCTCTGACTGTTGTTAGGCTTTACCTTCTCTCAGCAGTCTTGAGGTTTTCAGAGTGGAGGTCTTGCATATATTTTCTAATATTTATTTCCAAATCCTCTAGTTTGGTTTTGTTTTATTTTAGGCTATTATAAATAGGATTTAAATTTTTTATTTTACAATTTTGTGCTGTTAATATATAAAAATTCAGTTGATTTTATATATTGACTTTGTAGTTGTAATAGTTGTTTAGTCACTATAGTAATATTCTCTGCCAGATTTTGGGCAATAGACAGATTGTAACTCTTTTGTTGTTTTCATAAATTGCTTTTGCTTCTGTTTATAGAGCTAATTATAGATAATCATTAGAAACACTATATCAAGTTAGGAACTCAGTTCTCTGGATTAAGTTAAATGTGCAGAATCCAGCAACTAAGCACAAATATCCTTCACAGTGTTTGATTCCAAAATGAATTATTGAGCTTTGGAGACTCAGTGTTTATAAAAGCTCCCTTTTTTGCATATACTTAACATACAACAGAACTAGGAAGGCACATTTGAGAAAGGAAAATCCACTCACAGTCCCTTGACTCTGGCTATACCTACCATGGTCCTCATTGGCAGTCACAGAAGGCAACTCTGGCCAACTCGCCCAGCACGGGATTAGTGAGAGTCCTGCTGTGCCTACTGCTCTCTCAGAAGACTGTCAGAGGGGCTCAGAGGCTGTGCAGTGTCGAGCCAGCTCAGGGTAGACACCGCCTGTTTGCTGGGTGGGCACGAAGTGAGGTTCATGTGGCATTCCCTGGGAGCTCTGGGCGTGGATTGTGGCCCCAGCCTCACCTGAAGGGACCCTATCTGCCTGCTGCTTCCCCCGAAGTCGGGGCTCGTTGCTCTGGGAAAGCAGAGCCCCACACTTCTTGCTGGTGGCGCGCCTCCACAGGAAGGGAGACCAGGTGCTGGGAGACCAAACACGTGCAGGTTCCCATTCTCCCGCCCAGCCCCGTCTTCATGTGTCCACTGAGGTGGGTTCCTTTGTCAGAGGGGTGCCTGCAGCATCACCCACAACTATAAAAATGCTGCTTTGTCCACTCAGTGTCACAGAGAGCAGCCTCCCCGTGCCCCGGTGTCATGGTGGTTTTCATGATCTGTGTTCTCTTGGAAGGAGTTCCGAACGTGGCTGAGGGAAGAATGGGGGCGGACGCTGGAGGACATTTTCCATGAGCACATGCAGGAGCTTATCCTGATGAAGTTCATCTACACCAGTCAGTATGAGTAAGCGCAGCCCCCCCTGCGGGCACTGTGGGCACAGTCCCCCTCTGTGAGAGTATTGTGAGCTCAGTGCTTCCCTCCAGCTGCTGTGGCACAGTCCCCATGCCCGCCTCCTTGCCTCCCCCCGTACGTTTTCTGTCTTATTTATCATCACCATCCACCAGCAGGATGCCCTGGCGGCCCTCGTGTGTGTCTAACCTCGGGGTTGTCTTTCTACCTTCACCTGGGGCGGTTGCTTTACAACCTCTCTCTCCCTGGGCCTGTCCCTGCAGCCCCTGTGTAGCTCCTTTGCCATGTCTCCTGCATAGTCTTGGATTCCTGTCCCAGGGTGACACAGTAGGAGTGGCATTCCCTTCCCTCCACTGAGCTCCACGCCAGCGGTTTTGTGGTGCCTGGTAGGGTCACGTGAGGCCCTGTTAAGCCTTGTTGGAATCAGAGAAAGTGTGAGGGTGCTGTGTGCATGTGGGCGGGGTGAGCATGGCTCAGGTACGTGGGGTGCCCCTGCTCCCCACTCACCTGGCTGTGCTAGGCCGCCTGCCTTGCCCGCTCCCTGTAGTGGGCAGAGAGGCGTGGGCTCTGCTCTGCTGCAGCTCTGCGTGGCTCTCACACCACCCACTCCCCCACAGCAACTGCCTGACCTACCGCCGCATCTACCTCCCGCCCAGCCACCCGGATGACCTCATCAGGCCAGGCCTCTTCAAAGGCACCTATGGCAGCCACGGCCTGGAGATTGTCATGCTCAGCTTCCACGGGAAGCATGCCAGGGCCACGAAGATCACAGTAAGTCCTGGGGCTGCCAGGTGGGTCCAGCCCTGCGTGCACCTGTCAGGCCAGCCTTGGAGTAGCATGACTTGGGCTGCCCCCGGGCTCCTCGGAGGGGCCCAGACTGCAGCATCGCTTCTCCAGGGAGCTGATTGGGAATGCAGATCCTTAGGCCCCACCTGGACCCACCCAGCCAGGGTCTCAGGATGGTGAGCACTTCCGCTTTCCCACATTGAGATACCTGTGGAAGTTGTGGAAACACTGATGCCCTTGCCCTACCCTACAGATTCTCATTTAACAGGTGGGGGGCTGGGTAAGGGTTCTACAAGCTCCAAGGTGACCCCAAGGGCCACCACCATGGAGATCCCCTCTGGCAGCATACAGGTCCCACTGCCTGTCCTGGCCTCAGCAGCTTGTGAAAGCAACTGGAGGGTTGTTGAGTGGAGTAGGCCCTTTGTTGCCCTCTCCAGGGGCCCCCATTCACACTGTGCTCCCCTGTCATTTGCGTAGCTCGTTGGCTTGGGTTTCTGGCAGGTGCACTAAAGCCTCCTGAAGAAGCAACACCATGTCCTAGTCCTCACACAGCAATGCTTTTGAGCCTGTGTCCTCTGGGGTCCCTCCGCTTTTTGGAAAGCTCCTTGTGCATGGGAGCCTGGAGCCAGGGCTCTGCTGTGGGGATTTCGGCGTGCTCCTGGGGCTCACATGGGACTGCAGAGCCTGGGAGGACTCCTAGGGCTGAGGCTTAGCTTCTGCGTTCCAGGCAGACCTCTGCAGGCTGGCCTCTCAGGCAGGCTGGCCTCTGGCTGGCCCTGGGCAAGGGTGAAGTCCTCTAAACCTCGGTCTCCTCAACTGTCACACAAGCAAGTTGTCATCTGAGGTCTTTGAGTGCAGATGAGTCATTGTTTCCGTTACTAGTAGGTGCTGTCATTTTCTGGCCTCAAAGATCCCTTCACAGATGGGGACACCTGCTCTATGGGCTAATTTTTTAAGAGCTTCTAAAATATTTTTTCCTTCTCAAAAAAAAAAAAATATTTTTGCTTCTAAGTCAGTAGGAACACTAGTGTGAGCTTATCTGGCCAGCGGCAGGACCTAGGCTGGAGTGTGTTTCTGAGCCCTGCTGACCACCATCCACTTGCTCCACAGGGTGACCCCAATATTCCTGCGGGGCAGCAAACGGTAGAGATCAACCTCATGCACCGCATCCAGCTGCCCAACGTCGAGAACCTCTGCAACTTCAATGAGCTCTCCCGCATCGTCCTGGAGGTTCATGAGCAGGTGCGCCAGGAGCAGCAGCAGCAAGAAGACAGGACTGAGGACAGTGAGGGTGCCGGGCCACCCACTGAGAAGGCCTGGGAGTCCGGGGACAGAGGGGCTGCAGCTTTGAAAGAGCAGTCTGTCCAGTTCGTTCTGCCCGTGGGAGTGAGCTCAAGGAACGAGGACTACCCCCGAACCTGCAGGATGTGGTAAGGACATGCGGGTGGGTGAAGACTGGGCTTCAGGGTGGGCCTGGGCTCTGACCGGCTGGCGCAGGGGCTTTCTGCCCCAGAATGGGAGCCTCCGACAGCTTGGTCCAAGCCCCAGCTCAGACCCAAAAACATGGCACACTTTCCTAGGCTGAACAGTCAGCTGTCACACCCCCTTGGGGAGCCTCAGACTGGGGTTATTGGAACTACCAGGCATAAAGACTCCCCCTAGAATGCCTTGTGTCACATAATTACTCGGGTGAAAGGAATACGAGGCAGGATGTGAGGCAGCACTGCAGCAGACAGTGAGGAGAAGGACTCTTCCCCCAGCGCACACCTCTCCATGTAGAAAGCCTGCTCGGAGCTCCCCCGGATGTCCTTGTAGGTAAGGCCTGTCGTGGGTTCTCCATTCATGTCCTAAAGGAAGTAGTTCTGCAGTCAGATCATTATTTCTTCCTGTGATTTCTCCCCTCCCTCCCTCCCTCCCTTCCTTTCTTCCTCATTTCTGTTACTTCTATGCCCTCCTCAGCTACTTTGAGCTGGTGCCTAATTGGCCACCAGAGTGAACCTCAGCCCAGACAGCATGTGGAGAGGGGCTGGCATTGCCGCTTCCCTCCGTACAGAGGTCAGGATCCCTGATCTTGGGCCAAGGCCTCCCCCAGGCCGCCAGCCTCTCGCCTGACTTGCTGTTCCTACGGTTTTTTCTCTGGCCTCTACTTTCAGCCACTTGAACCCAGCCCTGCCATTCAGGCCATTCCCTGGTAGATGTATCATGAGATCCTTGCCCCAGTTTCCTATACTTTAGGGCTATTTAACTTTAACTAAAATCAGTAAAATTAAAAATTCAGGTCCTCAGCTGCACTGGCCACAAGGGCTCAGTAGCCACACGTGGCTGATGGCTACCATATTGCACATGCAGGTGAGAACATTCCATCATTGCAGAAAGTTCTCCTGTGCAGTTGCCTTAGTGGATATTCTGAAGGAGTAATCTGTCAGCTTCCTGGCATTACACCTAAGTCTCCACCTTTTTCAAGTTATGTATGAAGGTTTGTTTCCCTCTGCCTCTGGGCTGACTGCTGTGTCATGTGCCTTCAGCTGTCTAAGCGGTATCTACACACAGACCACCAGTGTGCACGCCAAGCTCCCTGAAAGGGAAAGGGATTTAGGTACCTGTGTAGGCTTGGCAGAAAAATTGAGTACATTTTCTCCTTGTTATACAATTATGATAAAAGTAACTGAATTTGGTTTTTCCAGAGGGAGGCATTCAAATGGCATTCCAATATTATTTCACCTGATGTAAATTTTTCATAAAGTTTTTAAAATTTTAAAAGTACAGTTCACATACAATATTCTCTTAGTTTTAGGTATATAGCATAGTAACTCGACATCTATATTCCTTACACTGTGATCACCAGAGTACATCTCTAGTAACCATCTGTCACCATACAAAGTAATTAGGATAATGTTGACTATTTGCCCTATGCTGCATATGACATGCCTGTTTGAAAGGCCATAGAAGGAAAAGGCTCTGTTTTTCCTGTAAAACTTAACTCGTAGCGCGTGGCCAGCCAGGAGCCGGTAGCAGATCACCAGCCTGCTGGGGCTTGCCAGTCTAGAAGTCTGATCCAGCCCCCTGGCAGAGTCCCAGGGTGATCTTCCCCCCTGTGCTGAATATCAGGGGCCCCACAGCTTGGGGGGCCTGCTGTGCTCCTTCCCTATCTGATTTGTGTGTCTGCGAGGCTTTGTCACAGCACTGGTGCAGGAGACATTTGCTGTGTGTTCTCTGAATCTAGGAGGCATTTGTTTGCCTCCCTGTGCGCTGCAGTGCTTTTATTCCCACCCGGGAAACCCTCTGAACCACAGGCTGCTCTCCCCTCTCCCACCCAGCAGAGTATCAGTGTGGTGGAAGGAGGTGGGGGCCTCGGGCACCATTCCATGTGCTGGGAGCATCAGGCCAGCCCCAACTTCCCGTCACTGGCAGAAGCACCAAGTTGTTTGTAAGAAAGACAAATGTATTTCGGCCTGATGTAGATCTCAAAAGTTGGCCATATAGGTATTTGAAAGTTCTACCTTCTGAGTTAAAGTCAGTTGCATGCCAGTCAGTCTTTATTGATTATATTTGAAGTGTTCATATGATGGCCTAACTACCCTGCGAATTAAGATTTTTGTGACCTGGGCCTGCATGATGAAAAGACATCATCCTAGGGACAGGGGTGTGAGGCGGGGCTGCCTGAGAGCCTCCTTCCGTAGTTGAGTGAGGTGGTAGAAATCAGCAGCTGGCGGGGTGAGCCCAGCCTTATGGGGCAAGCGCTACACGCCCCCTCACACGCTCCGTAAGTGAACATCCATCCCCCGCTCACCGAAGCCCTGCCCCTCCACTGCCACGGCTCGGTGCGCTGGACGTTGAGCATTGTGCAGGGGCTCCATGAGGACAGGCTCTCTTTGGGTGCCTGCTGATTCTTAGCTGCTTGCTTCCAAAGAACGAAAAGCGGCTTGAGTGGGATAAAAGGGTTTTAGAGCACTCCAGGATGACACGGTGATTGACTGGGGCCAGTGGAGTTCCTGAAAGCCCCTCTCACTCTTCTCTCCCGTGTGTTTTTCTTCTTTCTTTGTTCAGTTTCTATGGTACAGGCCTCATCGCCGACCATGGCTTCACCAGCCCTGAGCGCACCCCCGGGGTCTTCATCCTGTTCGACGAGGACCGCTTTGGGTTCATCTGGCTGGAGCTGAAATCCTTCAGCCTGTACAGCAGAGTCCAGGCCACCTTCCGGAATGCAGATGCTCCATCCCCACAGGCCTTCGAGGAGATGCTCAAGAACATTCAGTCCCTGACCTCCTGACGGCCCCTTTCCCTGCCAGGGGCGGCTCCAGAGCCCGTAGCCTGGGAAGAGCAGCAGCATGCACTTTTGAGATTCAACCTTCTGACCAGAACACCCACCTTCTTGTAGGCGCCTCGGCCCGGCCACCTGAAACGCTTTCTATAGAGGGTGCTGCATAGGCCTGCACATTTGTCAGTAGCTGATGGGGAAGCTGAGCTGAGCATGTCTTATAACAAAACAAAAAAAGAATTGGAGAAACTGAGTTTGTCTTTGGCTCACTGACGATTTTCTAGGGAAAACAAAATCCTCCAGGGAAGTTCCTGACATAGCTCAGTCTCTTGATTTAAGGGGTCCAGTGTGCGGGGTGCCAACTCTACCTTTTGCTCCGCAGGAAGCAAATGAAAGTGGCCATGGGCCTGTGAGGGCCCTTTGAGGGCCCAGGTGAGGCGAACTTCCGTGCGGCCTGGGCAGGTGGGGAGCAGTGTGTGTGGAAAGGCAGCTCTAGAGAATTGGGGGTGTCAGTCTCAAGACTGAGGACTGGATTCCTATTTCTCCCCCCGCCTTTTTTTTTTGCATTGTTTTATTTCTGTTTTATTTTTGTTGTCTCTTTTTTCTTTTGTTTTGTTTTTTCCACATTTTTTGTGAATTCCCATTTCTCTACTGACTCACTTGGATTTTGGACAAAAGCGTTTCATCCTCATCTCAGTTTCTGAATCAGGGAAATGGGGCTAGCGATACGGGTCACTAGAGAATGTCACTGTGGGCCTTTGAGCAGCACAGAGGCCCTGTGACCACCCCTGGTCCTGGTGCCCGGGCAGCATCTGATATGCTTGCCCTGGCCTCTCTAGGTTGAAAACCTTCCCTGCAGCCAGTTCTAGTCAGTACTCACGGTGCACTCCCCGCCACCAACACACGCATGCTTTGATGTTAGATTCCCAAACTGCAGCCACGTGTCCCAGGACTGGGTCAGAGCTACGTCTTTTTATGGCCCTGCGTTTATTTCATCTGCACTGTGTACACTGGCGCTGTTCTGGGAAGTGTTGAAGCATCAGAAGTGTGACGGTGCAGCCCCTTCACAGATGAGAGGGCAGCTTTCTAGAAAAGTCACACTGCATCAGGGTGCACTTTCGAGACCAGAACCTTCCTGCATGGTGACCCTGGTAGTGATTCTTCTATTGGCATTGTGCCCATGTTGGGCTGACAACTGCATTTGGGGACCACCCCCTCCCAAGGTCCCCGATCTCAGCGTCTCCTGCAGAATGGAGCCCTAAATGTGTGCTGGCCTCCAAGAATGTTTCGGCTCCCCCTCCAGCCCGCAGAGAGCCCTCTCCACACTACCTGCCCAGGAGTGCGCTTTATGGAGGGCTGGGCAGAGTTTTGTCCCTTCGTTGCTTGTCTTTGTTGGCTGGATTGTGATGAGTGCGAGGATCCCCAGGGAAGGGGGCAGCTGTGTGGTGCCTTCAGACAGAGACCAATCTGAGCTGTCTCATGCAATGTGTCCTCTGTTTTCCTGATTAATTTTTTCTTTGGCCTTTTTTTTTTTTTTTTTTTAATAAAAAATTCCCCACTACCCTAACTGCAGTTCATTTAGCAACTCTGACCTCCTTTTGCTTCCCAGTGGCACAATCAACAGGCTCTGGGACACACTCCCTCAATGGCCAACTGGCCCTCCTGGGAGGTTCTGTGGAGACCCGGAGAGGCAAATGGAGAAGGTGAGGTCCCACCTGGGCAGCCGCGGGGTTCAGCTGCCCAACATTATCAGCTGAATCTCATCAGGGATGCATGCCCAGGGCGTACCTTCCAGATCCTTCTAGCAGGTCCTGCAGTCGAGTTGAGTCATGGTCCCAGTTTCCACATCTTCTGCAGGACTGAGCCTACAAGCGTCGTCACTGCTTCTGTCTTGCGGTACGACTTTTTTCTCATGCCAAATGTGGCCAGCCCTGAACTGTGCGTGTTAACTATGGCCATGAAGCTTTGAGGAAAATGAAGAAGGAAAACTGGGCATGCCAGCTCTTGTTCTCTAAGTTTCACCACTGTTTAAATAAAATTAAGAAAATGCCTATTTTACCCAGAGCCTGAGGCTCGCTGTAGGGGACTTCATTCTGATCTGAGGCCTCCCCTAAGCATTGTAAAGTGCACACGGATCAAAGATGAGCACTTCTGATTATAAAGCAATCTCAAATCTGAACGATGTAACCTGCCCCTGGCGTTGGGGTCTATATGTCGTTTCTACTAATACTGACTACAATAGCCCTCAGTTGTAGGTTGTTGGCTGTGTTCACATTAACTCTGCCTCTGGTGTGAGGTGAAGCCCCAAAGTCTGTGGGGTCCGTCCATCTGGCAGTGGCCCGCAGTGATGCCAGGCAGGGCCAGCAGCTCAGAGTATGTGTTGTTCTCCCACTCTGATGTGTCCTTTGTTTCCAGCTCTGCAGGTGAATGTGCAGGGACCCAACACCAGCTGGCTTTCCTTGGTCATGGGAATGGTCGGGCAGCTTGTTAGAACTTGTTGCATGAATTAACTTCCAATGAACTAACCAGACCTGAATGACCCACTTTAGGGACCAGCAGTGCCCTTGTAATGCTTGATTTGGGGAAGGTGGCAGGTGGGCCTAGGAGGACCCGTAGACACATTTCAAACGTTGGCATCACCTTCACGCCACATTGCTGCTGTGAGGTTGGGTAAGGTGAGTCTGTTACGTGGACTGGAAGAAACAGCTGTATCTGCATACTCAAGTGTGCTCTGTTCTCTGCTACTCACCGGAAGAGGATGTCATTGGAGGTTTCTTCTGTATTGGGCTGGATGCTCATTGCATGAGACTGTTGCAAATGAATTTTTTCCCAACTATGTGACATGGGTCTGGCCATATATCCACTTATATTTGCCTGTCCAGCTCAGACTGCCAGGATCTACAGCTGAGTGTGAGCAGGTCTGAAGGCCTCTTGGCAGTGGGAGAGTTTCCAACTCCTTTTGCAGTTGAGACTGGCACCTCCCTCCCTGACCACGTGCCGGGTCTGGGCGTCTGGCTCACTGGCTGGTGCTCACTGCCACAGCTGCCCTGCTCCTTTCCTCCCTCACCCTCCCATCCCCACACCAGGCAGCTCAGGACCAGGCACGTCCACCTGGCCAGCATGGGGGGCCAGCGGCGCCCACAGTGGTCTGACCAGCTAGATGCAGGCAGGCCTCCATTCCCACTAGCCCAGGAGTCTAGTTGACCTGACAGGCTTTCTGTTTCACTGAGAACTTGAAGTTGACTGCTGTAGCCCAGGCAGCCAGGAGCCCTTGCTTAGCCAGCTCATTCTCTGCACCCTGAGGACACTTATTTGGGGCTGGATTTCAGTGTGTAGGTTGCCCGTGTTTTCTCGCACTGCCAGAGTGTCACTCGTTAGTATTCTTAAGCAGTGATGGAGAGGAACACAAACCTGCTCAGTCTCTGTCATTTGGTGAATTTGGTCACAGGTATCTTGGAATTTCCTGGGTTCCTTGTGGCCATGGTGTCTGGTGTATAGACTCTGAGCAGCCCAAGGTATGGCTCAGAGCTTCGAGAAAGCAGTCATATTCTCTTGGAACCTTATATTTTGTTCACTACCTTCATGTTCCATCTGTTAGGAGTGCTATGAATGTCCTCATATAACCCTGACCTGGCTTGAGGAGAAAACACCCCGATTCATGGGCTATCCCAGTGTTAACAGAGGCTAACCCCTCTGTCTTTATTTTTGGGAGAGGATCTAGAACATAATTTGACTAAATGCTCTCAGAAGTATTTAAAGAGTTGAAGAAAACCACTGTTGGATAGGACAAGGATCTCAAGATCTGTGCAGTTCTTACTATTACTAAATGCTATTCTTGCTGAGTGTTAAAATGTAACAGTATTTTTCAGAGGCAGCTGTAAAGGATGAGCTTAATCAGAACCCAGCCTGATATGGTTAGCCAACTGCCAAGAAGAAATGAACATGCACTTGACCAAACAGTGCATACAAGCAATGGCTAAGCCTCCCTTGGGGGAGACAATTTTGGATGTGAATCTGTCTTGTTCACTTGCTGCCAGTAAATGAGACTAGCCATGCATAACCACATCTCCCTCTTGAATAGACCACCTAAGTGACAAACGCCTTAAATTTGGTAACACCACAGTGCCATCAGTTTGCCTGACACTGTCATTGGGAATGAGATGTGCACACGTGTGCTTGTGCTCACACAGGCAGAGCACACGGCACCCTTTGGGCATTGTGAGGACCGGGGATCTGCCTCTGAGCCCTGGGAGCTCCTGGAGACTTCGGATTAGAAGATGGCTCTGGCTGCCAATGTGAGAAGGGACTGCAGGTGAAGAAGGTGGGGGGAGATGTCTCCCAGGAGGCTGCTTTGGGGATTCTGGTAAGGGTTGACACGGTCTGAACCCTGGGAAGTGAGAAGACTCTGGGTGAAGAGTGGATGAGAAGAGCTGATGCCGCTTTTGCCCCTGTGTGCCACTGGCCCCAATGTAGTCTCAGGGGACCGGTCTGCTAATGGCATAGTCCTGGAGCCCCTCACAGAGCCACCATGACCACTCCGTAGACAACAGGTGCCTGTGATACTGATGGGCTGTCCAGAGCGCTGGGAGCAGGCTGAGGACGGAGAACAGGAAGGGGCTCCAGGGCACGATGGTAAACAGAGGGGCCAAGGCAAGGTAGTGCAAGTGCAAGGGGGGCATTGTCAGGTAACGGAGCGTATCCACCCCACCTGACCCAGGGCAAGATGGCGGACAGAAGGAAGTCCTTAGACTGTGCATGTGCAAGGTTAGCAAGATAATTGGATAAGAGGGGAAAAGCCCTTCTATCCCCTTTCGTGCGAGATTCAGGGTAAGACCAGGGGAAAGCCAGAACATGCACAAATAGAAGTTAAAATGGTGACGGGAGGTGCTGACCGAGGTGTCAGTGTAGCCAGGGAAGAGAAAGGACTGTTTGGGAGGTGGACCCACCCAAAGCATAAAAAAAATCTGGTCCCTCCCTAGCTGATACATATCCAGGGGAATGAAGAAATGCTCTTGCTCACCTAATGAATGCACAGGCTGGTGTGTTTGTGGGACCTTGTGGCCCTAGAAGCCACATGGCCTATGGTGGCACTGGCCCCACATGCTGGAACAAGAGAGGCTGAAGCCTGGCAGCAGCCAGGAACAAGCTAAGCTACCAGGTTGACTGCTGTCCTGTGGGTCCCAAAGGACAGTACTTTAAATGGGAGCAGGAACTCTGGACTCTGTCTTATTTTTTAAAAGATTTTATTTTTAGAAAGAGGGGAAAGGAGGGAAAAAGAGGAGAGAAACAATCTATGCGAGAGAAACATTCAGTTGCCTCTTGTATGTGCCCCAACCAGGACCAAACCCGTAACCCAGGCATGTGTTCTGACCAAGAATCAAACTGGTGACCTTTTACTTTGCTGGTTGACACCAAACCACCTGAGCCACACCGGTCAGGGTGGACTCTGTCTTTTGTTTTGGTTTTGCTGAAGACAGCTGAGTTTTGTCCAGGTTTTGTGGAGGAAATGGGCTTTGAAACAAGAGTCTGCCATTCTCCCAGATTGTGCAGCATCTGAAAAAAAACAAAACAAAACAAAACCAACCAACCAACCAACCATGTTTCTTTTCTCACCAGGCTCTGCCCCTAGAGTCTGCCTTTTGGTGGCTGTGGGCAGCTGAACTCCACTTTGGTTGGGTAACACCTTTGGTTAGGATAGCTCAGGGCAGCTGCCATCCTAACCCGGAAATCCAGGCAGCAGAGGAGGAATTCACAGGACACTGTTGTTCAGACAGCCATTCAGAGAGTGTCTGCTGAGTACTATGTGGACCGGCCAGGAGGCAGGCGAGGACCTAGACCCAATTCTTGTCCTCTCCTCTGGCTCCCTGCAGGATGCAGGATGAAGATGGAAGTTGGCTGAGCCCAGTGGATGCTCCTCATCACCACAGAGCTTCTCTCTGTTCCCACTGTTCCATGGTTGTATTGGAAGGCAAGCTTCCACTGATCGCCATAGGCAAGTGAGACACTTCTCAGAACCCTTCTTCTCCTAGAGGATGCTGGTGATCTCAGGAGAGTGCTAGGATGTGAGTCCTTGGTGTATGTGTGGGCGGGGGGCGGGCGATGGGGGGAGCTGAGGGGACGGTGTGATGGTGTCAGAGGCATTTGAAAACGAATAGACTCAGAACCTGGCTGGCTGGCTTGGGCTACGCCCCTTTCACAGTGCTCTGATGACAGGAGGGGCATGATGGTGGGTTCCTTGTTTCTCAGCAGATGGCAGGAGCACCCAATGAAGAAGAAGAAAGACCAAGACGCTGAAGTTATACAGCTCATTGAAGAGAGAATTCTAGAATGTCACAGCCTGGGAGGCAAGGAAACTTTTGATCCCAGGAAAGGGTAAGAGTTTGACAGCAGAGTCTCACAGGATGATGTCCACTAGTGGGGACCAGGCACATGACACAGAAATCCCCCAGTAAGGAACATGAAATTTTAAAAATTAGAGTTCTTATTTAGATTTTATGTTAAAATTATGTTGTAACTTAACCCACAGGGCTTAGATTTGTAGAGCTCCTTTTCTGTGCCTGTGGTGGGTGTTAGGCTGAGCGCAGACTAAATGCAAGTCCTCCTCGTGCTCTCATGCAGGGACCCTTGGTTGGTGAACACACTGCACATCTGCACCATGACTCAGGGACTCATAGAGCCCTCGCTCTGCTCCCTCTCTCCTTACCGGGGAACTCTGGAAACAAGAGCCAGCACAGAAACGTTTGGACAGTAACAGGCTTCTCTGGTCCCACTTCCTTCCCCAGAGACCGTGGCAATGAGCCGACCTTTGCTTAAAGTAGGAAGGGAAAGGGAAGTAGGAGGCGGTTACAATTCTGCCACAGTCAGGTAGCGATGGTTGATGTGCCTGGCTCTCCAGCGCCTTTCATGCTGTCTTACCTGATCTCAAACTTCCTGTGGGATAGGTTCTGTGGTTATCACTGCTGACGAAACTGAGGCTTGGAAAAGTTAGGAGACTTGCCTGATACAGTGAGTAAGAGGCAGGGCGAGGATTGGGATCAGGCCCCTTGTTATTCTGAACACTTGGGGCGGGGAGGTGGGGGTCTCCTTCAGATCACCAGCTGGTGTGGTGGTGGATTTGCTATCCCAGCTTTGAACATCATACAGGTGGAATCACATGCACATTTTGGGGTTTGGCTTCTTTGTCCATGTGCTTCATTCATCTACTTTGTTGTGGGCTGCAACTGTGTGTTCTTTTCATTGTCACATGGGGAATACGCCATTCATTTTTTAAGAAAATTTTTCTCCTATGGACATTTGGGTCGTTTCCAGTTTGGAGCTGTTAACAGAAGATTGCTGTGGATATTTTGCCCATGTCTTCTGGTGGACATTTCTCTTGGGTCTACACTTGGGCAAGAAACAGCTTTGTCATCAAGTGTTCATGTTGAGGTTTTGTAACACTGCCAGTTTGCCAACATGATTGTATTTACTTCATGAGCAATGTATGGGGATTCCACCTGCCACTTCCTCAAAAACCTGGTATCTTCAGTTCTTTTAATTTTAGTCATTCCGGATGGGGATGGAGACAGTAATGAGCTATTGACATGAAAAGGGCAGGACAGTGTCCCAGTAGTAATGGCCGGACTTCCAGGGGGCATGAGCTTGTCCTCTATAGTATAGCCATGTTCTGGTGGGCCCAAGAGAACTAAAACAGCAGGGTAGCCAGGAGTGCTCCGAAGTGGGCAGGAACAGGACAGCTACCTGCAAAGAACATTCCAGGCTAATGATGAGATTCCTGGGTAATTTTGTCATTAGCTATGAAGAGACCAGTGATGACTTTTATAAACACACAGATATAGGGGGTAAGGTTCCAGATATTTAGCAGCTAATATGGTAGGGGCACTGCCCAAACAGCACAGGTGCCGGCCACAAGAGCACGCACATGGGTTCTGGCTTACACACTCAGTCCCTCTCACAGGTCACCACCTTAATGGTTAAATAGCAGAGCCAAGAAAGCTGAGCAGTGCCTGCGAGCACCGTTTGCTCCCTGGTTAGAACACAGCGCACTGGGGTGTTGCCCACCAGGGCTACAGTTCCTTTTATGATAGTTTGGGCAAATATTGATATCAAGAGTATTCAAGTCATCATGAAAATAGTGCAAAGTGTGTAAAAACGCATTTCCAAGAAATACAAATAGAAGTTTGTGACCAACTAAAGGAACATATTGAGACAATGCATTTGGTTTTACGAAAATATAAAGACATAATCCTGTTTTCAATTTAGCAGCTGTCCAGGCATGCACCTGCACACGGGAGTGAGTGGAGGGAAGGGAGACTAAGAGGCGGAGGAAAAGTGGCCAAAGGGTTCAAAACAGCAGCAGGAACTTCAGGTTGACAGCTGTTTTGAATTCCATGGCCTTTTAAACCTCAGGTTGCTCAAGCAATACACATTTCTCTGAAAATCACAATTTGAGCCCATCGGTAGGGGCGTCAGATTCAGCAAGTGAAATGCACAGTTAAATATGAATTTCATTAAAACGACTTATAATTTTAAATACAAGTATATGCCAAATCATGCGTGTGATACACTCATGCCGAGATGCTGCCTGGTTCTGTGAAACCAACCTTTGGAACGCGTCTGCGAGACCCTGTAAGGCCGCGGGTCCCACCTCCTCTCCTTCCAGGGAACAGACCCACCCCCGCACTAGGCTGGGGCGCCCCGGGAGCAATCTATCAGAAGTGGTGAGCAGGCATTGCCAGTGTGGGCAGGTGGGCTTCTCCGGCTGACGCCCACCAGGGAGAGCCCGCAGGGTGGGACAAACAAGGACCAGGGTGCTCGTCCCACCAGCGCCGTTCTGACCTCCTTTCCAACCCAGGACTACCCCCGCCCCCGACGCTAAACCCCGAGGGCAGTTCCACCAGGACCCAATCAGCCGCCATCTAAGTGCACATGCCTGGGAGGCAGCGCTTTATTGGCTGGAGACCCACCAATCAGCGGGGCTGAGCGCGGTGCACAGAGCGGTGGTGGAGCCGGAAGGGCGGGTCTCGGAGCCCCGGGGAAGGAAGAGGGACTTGTGGTCCCCGGCCTGCGAGGTGGAGGGGCGGGGACGACATGTGGGTCTTTGTGTGTGTGTACAGAAAACAGCAATTTCTTGTTTCACCGAAAATGTCCGGGGAAGGTCTTCCGGCACGGATGTATCCAGGTGCTCAAGAGCTGTGGTCAAGGACTGACCGTCTGCATCTCTCAGCTTTGCGTTCTTGTCTACTGGATTTTCCCCTGGAGGCAAATGACCACCCAGACCTCTACAGGCCTACATCCTCAGCAGAAATGAGGGTTGTCTTTACCAGTAATTATAGCACGAAGTGCCTTGGACTGACTTGGTTGATGAAACCGTTCCGAATCAATCCCTGAAATGAGCTGGGCCAAACTTTCCCGCCTGGCGAGTCGGGGGTTTCAGCCCATTTAAACTAAGGGAACTGAGATGGGCGCGGTCCCCCAAGGAAACAGCAACGCTGTCACTACCAGCGGGCTGCTTGGGTGCTGTGCAGGGTAATGTGCCGCATCTTCTGTGTTTTCAAATATTAGCTGGATGAGTTGCACTCAATGACCTGAAGCCATTGCTGTAATAAAAGAGCAATAATAATTATGCTAATAATGAAACACAAAAACACTTGTATCACTCTTGTGGTTTCCATATTACAAAACACTTCTGACACATTCCATTTATGCCCATGGGAGACTCCATATGACCAACATTCTACAATTTGGGGAAGACAATGAGGAAGAGTAACCCAGAGTCTTGTCATCCCAGAGACAAAGCACCCAGGTTTTTATGCTGGAAGTAATTTAATTAAATGTGCATTGCTGACAAGGTTTTTCTTCAGTATTCTAGGTAAGCGTGGGGGTGGCTGATAAAGCATCATAGGTGTTGTGTTTGGCAGCTCCATGTTTTACAAAGTTCTCACCAGGCTGGAATGTTCCTGTCTTTCCCAAAGGGCCTCGCACGAGTTTAGCTGGAGTGTGCCTGAGCAAGCAGGTTCAGGAATGCAGGATTCCGAAATAATCCAACTCCAGGGAACCCCCAGACATTAGCACATGATCCCGCACACACCTTCTGTTATCATCACTGTGCCCCCCTTCTTAGGCTTAGGAGGATGACCCCTGCCGCCCCTGATGTTTAATGATAGGAACCAGTTCCAGGAAGGCTGACCCAGGTTATCACTCCTGTCCCCAATTTACACAGAGCCCAGAGCTTTCAAAGACTTCCTTTTCTTCTTTTCTAGGAAGAGCAAATTTCAAACCTTTGGGAAAGATCTTTCGGTAAGGAAAGCAACCCCTCAGGTACTCTACCCCAACCCCGACACACTCCTGTGGGGTGGGGAGAGCAGAGAATGTGTGTCTAGAAGCAGCATCTCGTGAGAGGATGTATCATCCACAGGAGTCCGTGGTTGTAGGTGCCCTCACCGAGCCCCTAAAATCTCTATGTAGGGTCACCCACTGCCTATCCCTAGACCCCAGTTCCTCATGACACTTTGAGACAGGTATTCAGGAGGCCAGGGAGAACCAACGCTGCCCTGTAGAGTATCTGCTGTGGGCGTCAGCGCCTTCATCTGCCCCTGAAGAGGAGGACTTCCCATCTCCTTCCTGCCTGTAGGTGTGGGGATGATCACATGGGATCGATGTGGAAGTCTTTGCCAATGGAAAGCTCTGTATGCAGATTGACACATAACCACAAAAAGAGCAATCATTTCCCCACTAGAGTTGATTGTACTTCCCCACTTTTCAGAGCCAGAACTTGAGACTTGCTCATGATAATGCAGCAGTTGCTAAATCTGTGTACAGTTGCTAAGTCTGGACATACGTATACGCCACCACAATTGAGACACAACCCTGAAGGGTTCCTTATGCCCCTTTGTCACTCCCATCTAACTCTCCCTGCCCTGCCTTCGTTCCCCGGCAACCTCTCACCTGTTTCTGTTGCTCTAGATTCGTTCACATTTTCTTGAATTTTATATAAATGGAATCATATAATATATACTTTTTTTGGTCTGTCTCCTTTCACTCAGCACAGTTATTTTTGAGATTCATCCACGTGGTTGTGTGTATCAATAGTTCATTCCTTTTTACTGCTGATTAGTGTTCCCATTATGTGAATGGACTACAGTTTATCCATTTGTTGAGTGAAGGACATTTGGATCACTTGCAGAAGTTTTGTCTGTTATAAATAAAGCTGCTATGAACATTTGTGTACAAGTCTTTGTATTGTATGAACATGACTTCATTTTTCTTGGGTAAATGCCTAGGAGGGGAAATGCTGGATCATATGGTAGGTGTATACTATCAACTGTGTTTCCAAAGTGTTTGTGTCATTTTACATCCCCACCAGTAGCATAAAGTTCAAGTTTCTCCATATCCTCACTAACACTTGGTTTGGTCAGTCTTTTAAGTTCTAGTTATTTTAATAGGTGCGTATCTCATTATGGTTTTAATTAGTAATTCTGTTATGACATATGGTGACATCTCTTCATATGATTTTGCATGTCTTATCTGATGTCTAAGTGTCTGTTCAGATAGTTTGTCCATTTAGAAAAAATGGGCTGTTTGTTTATTACTGAGTTTTGAGAGTCCTTTATATATTCTGGGTGCAAGTTCTTTATCTGATATTCAATGAGCCAATATTTTCTCCATGCCTTTATATATTCTGGGTGCAAGTTCTTTATCTGATATTCAATGAGCCAATATTTTCTCCATGCCTTTATATATTCTGGGTGCAAGTTCTTTATCTGATATTCAATGAGCCAATATTTTCTCAATGCCTTTGGCTTATGTCTTTATTCTCTTAATTTTTCAAAGAGCATAGAAGTTTTAAATTTTGATGAAGTCCAACTTATCAGTTTGACCTTTTTCTAGATCTTGTTTAGGTGTGCCCACCCCTAGGAAGCAGTGGATTATGCTTTCTAAGCATTTCTAGAAGTTTTTGCCTAACCTACGATCAGAAAGATTTCTTCCAAGTTTTCTTTTGGAAGTTTTATAGTTTACAGTTTGTGTTAGTTCCTGTGGTCCATTTCAAGTTAATTTTTGCATATGGTACGAGGTGTGTATTGAGTTAGTTTTTTTGCATATAGATGTCTTGTTGCTGTAACATTACACAAGTTCTATCCAGAAGGTATCCAGCCATGAAAAATACGAAAAATAAAGACATATATTAAAGAAGATACAAGATAAAAGAAACATTGTACATGGGACAATGATGCCTCAGTCCCCTTCAAAGTAGGCACCTTGTGACCTCACACAGTTCTCCCAATCAGCATCAGCTGCCCCGTTGTATTTTCCTAAATCTCAGTGATGGTCTGAAATCTCTTCCCTTTCAAAGGTGATTTTAATTTGGGAAAAGCCAGAAGTCGCAGGGCACCAAATCTGGGCTGTAAGGAGGCTGAGTGATACGATGTTTTGCCAAAAATCTCTGCATGAGACATGATGCATGAACCAGCACATTGTTGTGATGAAGCTGCCAATCACCAGTTACCCATAGCTGAGGCCTTCTGAATCATGGGAATAGATTCCATGGAGGAATGTTCCAGCTTAACATAATCACCACGCTGTTGTTCATGTCCATGAGTTCTTTTTCTTTGGGCTCCATCCTGACCCCTCCTAACCTCCCCATCCACACTGCCCGCCGCCCCTGGAGCTGTCTCCTGCTCTGTATCTATGAGTCTGTTTCTATTTTCCTTGTTAGTTCAGTTTGTTCATCAGATTCCACATAGGAGTGAAATCATATGGTACTTATCTTTCTCTGACTGGCTTATTTCACTTACTGTATGTCCTTCAAGTCCATCCATACTGTCACAAAGGGTAAAATTTTCTTCTTTTTATGGCCAAGTAGAATTCCATTGTGTAAATGTACCACATCTACTGATGGGCACTTGGGTTGCTTCCAAATCTTGGCAATTGTAAATAATGCTGTTATGAACACAGGGTGCATATATTCTTTTGAATTAGCATTTCAGTTTTCTTCATATAAATTCCCAGAAGTAGAATTGCTGGGTCAAAAGGGAGTCCATTTTGTATTTCGTATTTTTGATGACATTGTTTTTAAAATTCAATTTATGATTGCTCATTGTATTTAGAAATACTATTGATTTTTGCATTTTAATTTTATTCCACAATTTGCTAAACTCATTTATTCTGGTAGCTTTTTTTTTGTAGATTATATCAGATTTTCTGCATAGACGATCATGTCACCTGCAGATAGAAATGGTTTTATTTTGTCCTTTTTAACCTAGATGCTTTTAACTTAGTTTTCTTGCCTGGTACAGTGGCTAGAACTTCCAGTACACTGTTTAATAGAGTGGGGAGAATGACATCCTTATCTTTTTCCTGATCTTAAAGGGTTTTCGCCATTAATTATGATGTTAGCTGTAAGGTTAAATGCCCTTATTGGGCAGAGAAAGTTCCTTTTGTATTCCTAGTTTGCCAAGAGCTTTTATCAGAAATGAATGCTGGATTTTACCTTTGTTTATTGAGATCATCATACAGTTTTTCTTTTTTGGTTTGTTAATACAATGAATTACATTGATAAGTTTTCAAAAATTAAACCAGCCATTCCTAGGATAAACCTGATTTAATCATGATGTACTATACTTTTGACATGATTAGAATTTTTGCATCTGTATTCATGAGGAATATTGGTCTGAACTTTTCTCATAGCACCTTTGTTTAGGGTAATGCCAGCTTTGTAAAATGAATTGGGAAGTATACCACCATTTTTCTGAAAGACTTTGTGTAAAATTGGCTGTATTTCTTTTTTGAGTGTTTGGTAGACCAAATTTGCCAGTAAAGCCATGTGGGCCTGGGGCTTCCTTTGTGGGAAGGT